TAGCTTAGGATGAAATGATAAATAAACAATCTAACAACTAAATAATATGTAACATATTTGTTGTTATGAAAATTATAAAAATTTAAAAAAAAAAATAAACATTGCTGATGGAGTCAAAGTAGTGTACAGTAATAGTGGTGTTGAGAGAAAAAAACTGTTTTTTGCAATTCCGAAGGTTAAAATTTGCCCACTTTTATTAAAAGTTTTCCAAGTAATTGTCATTACAAAAGCTTTCCAAGTAATTGGGATATCCTACAGAATTCCTTCTACATTTCAACACAGTCAGAAATATCCTAATCTAGATTACAGATGTGGAAACGCTGACAAACTTTGATGCCAAAAATCGCTGAGCAAGATGTGAAAAATCAGTGACTGTCGCAAAGTATACAAACTCATTCACTGTTGACTTAGTAATCCTATGGGAGAATGTCTGTTCATATAGTAAGGTTCTTTTTGATTAGTCATCAAGTAACGTTAAAGCTATAAAATTTGTTCTCAAAATATTCAAAATGGCTGGACACGTTTTAGACAGACCTTGTAAGAGACAGAAAGCGATGAAAAGAGAAATAACCAGGGCATTTAAAGATGCATACACGCATGCATACAAACCCACACATGCATACACACAGACATACCAACAAAAAAAAAATCAACTTAACACAAATAATAAGAGCTCCCAACTAGCACCTAAATTCATTAAATCATCTTTAATATAAAAATAACAAAAATTGAGAAAAACAGCAGTTAGTTACTGAAAACCTCCTGAGGAGTGGATTGGACAATTATGCAATGGTTCATCTATGAAACTTCAGAGTCAAGGTGCTGAATATAACATCAATCAACTAAATGACGTATATTTTATATTTGTATTAATCCTATATAGCACAACCAACTTAATCATATGCGAATTTGAGGAAAGGATACAGAGAAGGGTGGGGAAGAAGCTCAGGGTGTCAGATGTCGATTGACATTACATTTGAATATTTGAAGATTATAGTCATCGGGGAAGCAAGTAAGGGGAAGGGAGTTCTACAGATGGGAAGTGCAGGAGAAGAAGCCGTTTGAGAAGAGACGGTTACAATTAACCATTTTGCCAGCCTGGTAGCTCATTTAAATTCATGTAGTCCAGGAACCAGCAAAAGTAGCTTGTCGAAACAGTTGCCATGAAAATATTTGTAGAAGAGACAGAGGAAGGCCATGGCATGTCTGTGAGATAGTGATTGTAGACTAGATGCCAGATCAGGACCTATCATCTTGTATATTCATCTCTGGATTTTCTCCAAGACCTCAAGACATACAGCAGAAGCACCAGACTATATATGACAGCAGTATTCCATGCAAGGATGGATGGTTGATTTATAGATTTGAAGGATGGACTCAAACAAGAAAAACTTTCTGGCATGATACAGAGAGCCAACTTTCCTTGTGGTAGATAAAGCAATTGATTCAATGTATTTATTCCACCTCATGTCAGTGGACAGTGTGAGACAGGCATAATGAGGTGCTCTCAAGGAGTTGGGAATCAGTTATTCTGATGGGAGGCAGGGAGGGTTCTCTGTGGTGGGTAAAGGAGAGCAGTTTCATACGTGGGTAAAAAAAAAAAAATACTACGGCATCTTCCTTAATGAATTTCATCTTAACATCAAGAAACTGATTAGACAACTGAAAAGGATCATTATAAGTAGATGCATTATGTCTATATTATTAAGGAAAGCCTGAAAATCATTCCACAAATTGACGTAAACCCTGTGAATGAAATTGAGCCGACAAAACAGTTTGGAAACCACTGATTGTGCTAATATTTAGTCATATCTTGATTTCAATAACCCTGAAGGCAATGACAATGCAAGATTATATAACTCTTGTCATGCAAAAAGCTACATTCAGGAAAAGTATACAAATACATGTTCTATATTATCATTTTTTAGTCTTCAAAGACTCCCAATGGTCTAACAAGCATATGACAATTACAATAGATCTCAATGGTTGAACCAACAGATGAAGATGGCTATGCTACAGAAGCTGCCACTTGAAATTATAACAGAGTCAGTGGCAGTCTTTTGCAGTTTCATAACTGGATTCTACATGTCCCATTCCATATGTGCTGCAGAGGAAAGTCATGAAATCAAGTATGTGGGTCACACCATTGGCACTTTCTTCTACTCTGACTTTCTTTTACCTCCAACTCTTGCAAAGCTAAATGGCAATAGGGAATGGAAGATGGAAGCAGGTTTTGGTAAAACTGAAAGCTTCTAATCCTGAACCTGCATATTGGTGGTGTAATCATAAAAGAAGCAATCAGCAAAGAAGAAATTAAATTCTTCAATATGAGATAAAGCTGCCAACAATTATTATTGAATTTGGTGCATAAAGCCCTGTTAGTTGTTATCACATTTAAGGTATTTAAAATGTGATGAAACATGTAACATGAGGATTAAAAAAAAAATCACTGATTGGAAGCAATATTTCATCTCAGCATTCTCAATATTATCCTACCACAGAATGTTTGGACAAGTCAAATTTTCATGGCTAGTCAAATAGCTTTCTGAATGCCTTTCTATGTCAAGTCATTACAAGGATATTTTGCTTCTGTAACCATGTGACTCTCACCCAATCTTTCCATCAACTGTCCAGTGATCACTCCATGTTGAATTTTACTTCACAATCTTGGTGTTCACCAAAGGCTGGGAAAGAGTATACTTATATACCCACAAGGTAACATGATGAAAGAATAAAATGCAATAAGAATGTGAACCATTTTCCATATTTATAGATGTTTTATTCAGGGCTTTGCCTGCTTGACCAGGTGGGTAGTTAGGTGATACTTTTGCTATGTCAGATCTTCCACCTATCAACTCTTCGCCCATCTACTCATCTTGATATGGTGGTTGGCAATACGAAAATAGAGGCTCCAGAATAATACGGATATCTCCTGCCAAGGGCAGACCAGCACTCACCTCAATCCAAAACATGACTGATAATATAGACCAGCACCTATTTCCGGTTTTGATGCAACTTAATCTGCAAAAATCCCTCATCCACTTTTTTTATATCCCTATTATCTTTTGTTTATAAAGGATGCTGCTTAAAAGACCAAACTTTTAAAAGAACCATCTACTGGTCTATCAGAGAAACACTTGGGATCAAGATAAAACTACCTCTTCCCCCTCTATGTAGATGTCAATAGTATTTATTATCTGTGTGATACGAAATAAATACTCTCAACTTAGAAAGTGCTTTAACTGCTACATGGGGGGAAATGCAAATCTCCTAAAATTCAACCAGTCTTCTTTTCTTTTCTGTTTCACACTTCCAATTTTGGAAGATCCGCCCTCCTCCAGGATGGGACATTATATGACATCAGTCTCCTGACGTCGATTGCTCATTCTGTCTTCACAATTATAATTTTATTTCTCAGAAATTTTGGTTAATAATTTTCCCAGTACATAGACCTTGACACCTTTCAACAGTTGACTTTAACCTCCTGCCAGCTGTGTCTCGTTGAATAGTAACAATCGTATTGTGTATTTTTTTCAAGAGAATTTGTAAACCTGTTCAACATCCTGGGAAAATAAATCCCTTTCTGATAAAAAAAATCGTTTTTTTTAACCCTTTTCGTCCATATGCCATGTTAAATATTGTTATATAATAGTCTTTATTTTTGTTGTTAATTCTCAAGTACAAAGAAAATGTATAAATTCACTTCCACTTGTTTAGGTTTTATTACAATTCTAATCATTGCTTTTTAAACAATAAACATTGAAGAGTGATGGTAGTTAAAAGAACTGTGTCATCAGATGAACTGTCCTTTTGACACTCAGTCTTATTGCAGGCATATGGATCCATGTTTACCAGCCTTTTAATTCAATTGTTCAAAATAAAACCTTTTCTTTTATTCTATAAAAACAAGTACAACCACTTGAGAGAATCTGTAAAATCAGAAAGTAACAAACTAAATAATATTTTTTAAATGGGATTTTGAAAACCCCATAGTATTAATACTGGAAAGGCTATATTGCTAGGTCAGCTAAGAAAGTCAGTTTACTATATCAGGTGAGACAATTTTTCTCTCCAGAATCTATCATACACATAAGTCTACCATTCGTCCAATCTTAGAATATTGCTGCCACATATGGTCTGGTGCCCCTGCTATTTACCTTAAGCTCCTTGATAAGATCCAAAAAAGAATCTGCAATATTATTGGTCTTGATCTGGCAGCTTGGCTTCAGACAGTTTCCCCATCACCATAAGGTTGCCTCTGTGCTTCTTCTATACTTTCATGGTAATTGTTCAGATGAGATTTTCACTATGGTAACTAGACTGAATTTAAGCGAAGTACTATACTTGTGTCAAGATCTCATCAATATACAGTTGAGATGTCTAGATGTAGCTGTTAATTCTATGCTAACAGTTTCTTTTGCTTGCACTTATCGCTTGTGGAACTCCCTTCTGGCTTCATGCTTTCCAGCCAATTTTAATCTGCAAAAATTTAAATGCGATATCAATCACTATCTATGCCTATCCTGATTACTCTCTTCGCTTACTGGTCATCATTATTGTTTCTGTTTCTAATTCTTCCACATCCTGTAACCCTTTGTGTTTTAGTGGCATGACTGCCTTGATTGGGGTGATACCAATTAAAAAGAAAAAAAAAACAAAAAAAGAAAAACAAAACACATTCTGATGATTTCTACCAGAACCAAAGATTCTAAGAAAAGTGTTACTAAATTTTTAATCTCACTACTTGCAACAACTGAAATAAGTTGGGTTAACTTGGTTGACTAATAAAAAGAGAGTCAATCCAAAATTTGGCACTGGTTAGTCAAATGTCATCCAATCTGATGGCTCATCATAAATAAAGGTGAAAGGATTTTCCCCTTTATTGAATAAGGAGGAAAAATAAAAAGAAAGGCAAAGAAATACAAGTTGCAAACAATTTTATTTTCTACAGACAACTGATTGGTATCCAAACAATAAGTGTCAAGTCCTAAAGGAAAGCATCAGCGTAGGACTTTACCTGTTCCCTGTTCAATTTGCCTTCTTTCCCAAATCATTCGATGTTTTTGTTTCATGAAGGCATGAACCACGGTAGCAGCTGCACCAAGATCTCCATCTGAAATTTGCAATAAAGATAAATATAGTCATAAGTCAAAGTTTTATTTACATAATTACAAATTTGCAACATATAGCAATATGAAACCAGAAAAAAAAAATAAGTAAAAAGGAAAGATAAGTTCACTAACATAGGAACACATGACACAGGTGCCAATGAACACCAAACACAAGATGAACGTCTGTAAATAATTTTAGATAACAAACAGAAAGAGTCTAGAATAACAGATATAAAATCAATAAAAGGCACATATCACATATCTGATACTGGGTATTAGTTCAATTATTAGTGTTTCATGAATTTGTAAATTCAAATGTTCATAATGGCAAAGAGAGAATCTATTTAAAATGTCTAAATAAAAGTCAGTAGTTCTTTTCACAATATAAGCTGGACAATTTGTTTCCCACTCTGGTATTCAAATTACATCCATGACAAAATTAGGATATCTTTGGGTATAATGTTCTCTTATTTTCTGCACAGTGAGCTGTTGAATAAATTCATGATCTTTGACAACAATATTTCCTTATTCCTTACACAACAAGTAATAGAATAAGTTCATAAGTGCCTTTTTAATGAGCGCACAATGAGAGCTGATTTACTCCTGACCTATCATGGTTGGAAGTTATTGGGGAATTGAAAATACAGTTAAAAAAATCCCATTTGGTAGCACATGTCACATGGGCTTGGGTTACTGACTTACTCCCTAGGAGGTCAATCTGTCTGACATTTCTCAGTTGAGACAAGACTCAGTCTAAACAGGAAATAAAGGAAGAAAAGAAAGAAGGAAAAGGAAACACAAAGAAAGCATATCATTTCATAAATTGACTATATGTCAGATTGAGGGCTATGTTACAACATCAAAGATAGTATGTGGGATGTTCCTAGACTGTACACAGTTTTATTTTATCAAGTGAAATGAACACACAGATAACATTCACTGGTCCCCAGCTAATCAAGTCTGCCAATAGACTTTATGCTAAGTTTAACTATTTAAATGTTGTTCCTAATTAAATTTTACTAAATAAAAACAGTGTTAAATAATTAAATATTACATGTGATATAAAATATTAGCCAAGCTAATTTTCTTATGTTCATAAGTTTTGACGTGTATGGAAGCCCATAAGTATGAATCATTTTAAACATTATTTCGCTTATTTGTGACTTTGAAAATGATTAAAACTGATTTGCAATCTTTGGGGTCAGTTGAAGTGGACTGATCAAATTTTTAACCTGGCTTGCTCAGAGTTGTAAATCATTACACCACATGCACATTACTATTTATTTATATCAATGTAAATATTTCTGGTTCCAGTTGTGCAGTTAGGTGTTTTGTTGTAATTTGCTGTCTAAAAAGGAATAAAAACCAAATGAACAAGCAGGGAAAAAAAAACAACAAAAACACGGAGACATATTTTCAAAAATCCAACCAACGAACAAAGGGAGATAATTCCTTATTCTTTTTTTTGACAAAGTTCAGAAAATAAAATGTTTCTTATGCTAAAATTATTAACCTTTAGCACTCTGCATTATTAATATTATTTCCCTTTCTACTGCATTCTTTTTCAAGGCCTCTCATTTGTATTATCCTTATTGTTAATTTCACCCAAAGTTGTTTTTTGCTGCCATAGCAGGATATGACAACCTCACTATGAAATTCAAACAAATTCATGGTTCAGATTAACTTTTTGTACAGCAAATGAAGTCACATACAAAGTGATAAAGGTTAATACTCCCATCACTATCTTATCTGCACAGGTAGTAGCAGTAAAACTGTTTTCTCCAGAAGCAGCCTTGTTACATTGTTTTTCTACAAAAGTACACAAAACCATTTGTAATAAAAATTTCAAGAAAACAATAATTCAAAATGTTTTTTCTTTTTTAAATACAAGTCTTCAATACAAGTAAATTTTAAAGATTAAAATCCATAAAACAGCACTCACACTTGATAAACCAGTTGGTGGAAGCTTTTTCATAATCCTCAGTAACTTTTTGGCATTTCTGTGGTGCGTTATGTCCATTGTACATCATACATTCTGTCTTACGTCTACGAAGGATTTTCAAGATGTTGGCATCAACACCCCTGTTCGAAAAGAATAAAAAAATTAATTAACATTTTGTCCTATGAAGAATATAATATATAAATTCTATATCAGAATAATGAATTAAAAAAAAAAAAAAAATCCTATGTGACATGTTTTGTTCTTCAAAATGAATCCTTTAGCCTTATGTCAAATAACATGAAAAGAAATTTAAAGTAATAATCAATCATTTTTGCAAGAAGAAAAACTTCTTAGATGCAGCAGTGTTGTTGAGTAAGAAAACTAGTTAAAATCTATAAAGAGAGTTTTAATATGAACAGCTTGAGAAAAATAGAGTTGAATTGACCATGATCTAAAAAGGAACACAGATACAACAAAGATGTGAAAATAGTGGGAGAGAGTGAGAAAGAAAGATTTATTCTTCCATATGCATTTCTCCCATTATGGGCATTATTATATCTGTGATATCACAGATATAATAATGCCCATAATGGGAGAAATACATATGGAAGAATAAACGAATAACGCCATATTTCACGGGCAGAACAGAATGGCTGAAAGGGAAAAGGAATGACAAACATGCTTTGTTCTCAGAGAGACTTATATCACCAAGACATACACAAGTATCCTATGTGGGGAATAATATATCATATATATCTACACAGCAAAGCAGATCGTAAGGAAAAACAAAAAGGAATGGCTTACATATAATATGGAGATACTCCTGTGTCTGGAGAAGCCATCTCTTTAAGACTCTAAATTCAAATAGGCCAGATTCATCTATGTCCCAGTCCAGGACATATTCCACAAACAGGAAAACAGTGAGTCTTGGATATTCTTAAATTGAGGACAGCGAGCTGGAGTTTCATTGTATGTCTCGGAAAGATATATTCCTAAAGGGAAATGCCACCATGGACTTGTAAGCTTCTGGAGAGGCAGATTTAGTCTCTGCCTGGGTCAGGGGAGGGGATAGGCTAAAGAAAGCAACTTTATAGTTTAGCTGCTGAAAAACAAACAGAATTTGGCTGGTGCTTTTGTGACTGTATGAAGTGACATCACTAAGCAGCTGTCATATGACCCACATGACTTATCTCCACCAAAAGAAGATAAGAAACTTCTGTATCCTTATAGTGCTATTATTCTTAAGATGGTGAATAAACAAAAATTTTATGCTATGTCAATTCTGATATAAATACAATACAAAAAAAAAAAAAAAAAAAAAACACAAGGAAAAGATGTCTTTCAATTTAGATACCTTTTAGTATCAGGTCATCACATTTAACCTGCCTGGTGCTATGGATAAGACCATTTATCTTAGCAAGTTGTCAGTTTAATACCATAGAAAACATTTGTCATACAAGTATTATTTTTCAATGTAGCAGCATCTTGTGCAGGCAAAAGAAATTTACATATTTATTTAAGTGAATGTTGAACTGCTATGTAGTATCAGTTTTCTTATATGGCAGTGAATGCTGGATAATTTCCTCACAGATGAAGAGGAGACTTTAAGCAACAGAGATGTGGTTCTACAAAAGGATTCTGAGAAAAACATAGCTTGGGTATATGAGTAATGAGGAAGTTTTAAGGAAAATAAAAACAAAAAGGTTGCTTATAGTTAGAATCAGAAAGCATGTGTTGAAATTTTTGAGACACATAATATGCTTACTTGGCACCGGTTTCTAAAAATATTAAGCCCAAGCCCAGGTTGGCCTATCCCAATATGCAGTACTTCTCCTTCAAGAGGGGGCTGGGTTTATAGTCCGGTGCCCAAGGCATCCCCAAAAGGGAAAGTGCTGAGGTGGCTTGGGTAATTTTTCCACAGTAATGCCATTGAACCCATTTTAAACTTTGACCATGTCAGATTTGGTAGCAATGGGGGTGCACTGAAAAATACCTATACTGACAGGAAGAGGGGCAGGGGAAATAGTGAGTAACCTACTTAATTAGTTTGTGTAAATGAATGGCTAGACTTGGACTGGGACAAAATAGCAAAACGATAAACATTATTAAGAGTTACAAAAGATAGGAAGTTGTGGAGAGGCATGATCACCCTTGTTCTGAAGAGATATGGAATATAAAACTTGTACAAAAGAGGAATTGCTGCCCAAATACACACACATGCACATTTCATTAAAGACTGTTGGAATTTTTGGGTACCCTGTAGTACTAGTGAGCTAGCCAAAATGAGCTGACTCATTTTATAGTTCACCAATAGAAGGGTTAACCAATCAGAAGGCTCAAAATATTCAATGCGACGTGTATAAAGGCAGCCATGTTTTTTTTTTTTTTTTTTTTTTTTGAATATTCACTGCCAACCTCTGATATCGAAGACTGAAGAATTACGGAACAGCTGCTGGTGAGATTGGCGATATAGTCAAATCCAGTAGAGTGTCTGACTCGTGAGTATTAATCTTTAACGTTGTTTTATTGAACAGATTACATACTGCGCTGTATTCTATATTCATAGACTTGGCGAATATGGTCAACAAAGACGACTGACAAGGTACTGCAATTAAGCTTTTGATTTAATTTTTCTTCTGTTCGTATAAGTGTTTTCTTTTCTGGACATAAAGTGTGCAACCCCCCCCCCCAAAAAAAAACAAAGTGTATCCAAATGTTCTATATATCTGAGCACTTGACTATTCTATTTGCCATTATCAAGGATGTTTTGTTTTCTTTTTTAACTGTATAAGTGCATTTTTACATGTGTAAGTATAGTGATTAGAACCCATTTAAACACATAGGAAACCTACCAAACTATCTGAAACATACTCATAGAAAATCATAATAATCTCATACACATGTAAAAAAATGGCTAAAAATAATGGAAACATTAAAAAAAAAAAAAAAAAAAAAAAACCCTTGATAATATCTAATAGAATAGCTAAAAACACTTGGATATATAGAACATTTGGACAGTTTTATACACTTTATGTCCAGAAACACTTATACAAATGCAAGAAAAATTGAATAGAAATTAAAAAAACATTAGCCATACTGACTTGTCCCTTCCTGAAAGAACACAACATTAGCCATACTGACCTGTCTCTCTTGAACTGTTCATTTGCCTCAAATATACAAAGGGGCTCATCCACTTCACATTCATCAATTGTTGGTACCCGATTGAACCGACGGTGGTAATAATAGTGTTTGTTTCGGTTGTGGAGAGGTGTCACAATATTCTCTGTTTAAAAAAATAAAATAAAGATTATTAATTACAAGATAGAAAAATTAAATGGTAGCATTGCATTTAGAAATACCTGGAACATTTTTTTTAATATCTGTAGGGAGGGAGAGGACTCATTTTCAGTTTATAAATAGCAGAGTACCCATAAAAAATAAAGGAATCATTTACATTTGGATCAGAATTTCAGCTTAGTATATGTGCACTCTGTCTATCTTAGTAATTACAAGTGAACTTTCACTTGTATTATTCAAACAATAGACCATTTGTCTCCTTACCTCCATATTAGACATTTCAATTTCAAACAATATTTTCCTGGGGGAAGCAGATTCCAAGGTTCCCCATTTAGCAACAGATCTGGTTATTATACTAGCAGAGTACTCTTCAAGAAGGACAGGCTTATTTACATATGGATTAGTATTTTAATCTCGGGTCAAAGTATCACACTGGCTCTTTGCTTGGGATTAGTATAGTGTATGTGCACTCTACCCATCTTTGTACTTGTGAGTTTTCACCATGCTCTTCAAACAGTAGAACCTTGACATAATGTCACTCGTCTTGTCTTCAGATTGGACATTTCAATCTGGGTATTAATTTTTCAAATAACTTTAGCTGAAGATAGCAAACAAGTTATATTTTTTTAACCAATTCTTCTTGACAGATTAGTTTCTGGCTTACAGTCATATCATGTTGAAAAACCAGTTCCCATACGATCATGGAAGTTAAGCACAAGAGTGAAGAAGCTGACGAGGTGGATTAGTGGTTAATTGGACTTGTGGCTTGGTGAATTTGTGACAGCTTGCTACAATCTACTACTTGGTCTTCATGCTTAGTATAAATAGAAACCAATGTATCAATGTTGCTATAAGCTATTTCAGCTCAACTGCCTCAATCCATCTGACTACTGAGAGTCCTGTAGCTGGATCATCAAAAATTCACTGAGCCATAATTCCAAATAGCTGCAAATCCACTCATCCACCTTGGTGGCTTCTTCACTATTGTTCAAACATTGAGTCTGATTAATACCTAGATGGATGACTGCTTGGGAGAACTACATGCTATAAACTTGGATGTGCAGGTTGTGTAATGGATAATGGATTGGAATTGTTATTCAGAAAACCAAATTTCAATTGGATTCCTTGTATTCATTTACATGCAAATATCTTTGGAAAAGGCATGAATCTACCTTGTCTACCCCCCCCCATCTATGTGTTAATTTATATCATTATTATCTCAAAGGTTTTTCAAATTTTAGAAATGTTTTGTGGCTTTAAATAACCTGCACAAGGTTAATAAGCCCTAAGAAATAAATCAATCAATCAATCAGATTAATTTCTATATCATGGTGTTAAAGTGGAAGAGGTAGGAATGGTCTACAGCTCAAATTAGTTCTTGTTAAGTCTTTGAGCTTTCAAATAGCCTGGCAACCATGTGACTTAGGTCAATGCCTGTGAGTGGAAATGTGGAGACCTAAATTAGTAATAAACAGCAATTATCAAGAACATTTTTAGCAAGGAACTTGTTATTAATGTCCAGTAATTAGTTAATTAGCCACTATACATAATATTAAGAATCAGCTTACAATTATTGACTTACTTCCATGAATGCAAGTGCACAAAAATAACTTCCTCTACTATAAAATAAGTAAATGCACAAAAATCATTTTATTCACCATAAATTAGATATATTTTTAGATGATATTGCAAAAATAATGAGTTAATTTGATTACAGACAATATAATTGTATAATACAATCAGGAAGTAATTTCAACATTTTACAAAATCCTGTATCAACAAAGTCTGAAAATACTTTTATAAAAATGTGAATTTCACAGAAACAATAATTTTGATAATCTTTATGAAATTTATTAATTTTTGTTACATGTACAATTTGTTTCTCAGGAGATGCAGAATTTTTTTATTTTTATTTTGCTATGATACAACAGTAGATATTACCAGTGTACATAGTTTTAATGATTAAAATCAATTTACATCAACAAGAACACAATTAATTAACAGGATAATTTAGGGAGTTAACCAATTAAATATATGTAAAAATGGGAGAGATTGAAAATAAAAAATATCTGGTAAATATTTCTCTGAATAAATAAGTATGTCTTTTAATGCAGCTTCATCAACATATTTACTACTTGAAAAAAATATTCAACTCATTAAACAAGTGTAGTATAATTTGTGAAATTTTGAATTCAAGGAGAGATGATGTGAAATATGATTAATCAATGAAAATCAAACAACATAAAAAATAAAAATCCCAGAATTTCTTTCTTTTTCTCCATATCTCATTTTCTGATGAAGGTTTAATAAAATTCAAATATGTTAGATTGCTAAACATTTCTTATTTGTCATATATGATGGACTCTGTTATTTTTGACATATGAGGGTTAAACTACCCTATTGATATTTGTGCCTTTGATGACTATTAAGGCCAGTTTGAGACCCTCACAACATTCTGCATATAGGACAGGGAATAGCACCTTTTGTGAAGGCTGCAGGAATGTTAAAGAGGTGCCCACTGTTCTTCCTTGTAATACATAGATGTTCAATGTGTAACCTCTCAAAAGTTGTAATACCTTTTATGTGTACACTCCTGACAATCAGAAGTCACTTCCTGAAAGGGTGTCAACAGAATTTAGGTTTTGCTTAATTTTATTCTTGTATCTTAACAGGGTGTGTGCTTGCATATATATATATATATATATATATATATATATATATATATATTTGAAAAGATTCTTACAGGTACAAAATTTTATTATGGCAAGGAATAAGCGGAATGTAAAGGACATAATTATGAAAACTAAGAACTAAAACAAACAACCGGTTTCGTCCCAGTACTCCTCAAGTTTGATACACTGGGATTATTTAATCATAAACTTAAAAAACAAAAAACATTCAATGAGGGGAAAGGGAAAAAAAAAAAAAAAAATTTTATATATGATAGAAAGAACTAGAGCCCAATCACATTCAAGCCCAACAAGCAATCTCTCTGCTTACAGAGAAACGGCTCATGGGACTTGATGTAAATGGACTCAAGAACCTTCAAATGATATGCAGAGTGTGACTTCGCCAGAATGGAAAAACTGTCAACACTCAAACCAGCAACACATTCCTGCTAGTTATAGCGTGTTCCGCTATAGATGACCCAGATGTATTCACTAGTTGGCTTTTTGTTAGCGGCCGGATTTAAAATTCTGGGGGTAAATGTTGTTTAATTCTAAAATCCAAACGCTGAGACGTTCTGCCTATGTAGTCACATCCGCAACCACATTTAAATTTATATATAACTGAATTAATATGAAAGGGAGGCAGAAAATCCTTGCGCCTGGAAGAAAGAATTGGTTGAGTAAAAAATATTACTCTCACATTAGCAGCATAAAAACACTAACAGAATGTGAAATTTGCCTTGCTAGTTTTTCACCTTCTCTGCCAATGTAAGGAAGTCGTAAATAAATTGGACATTTCTTAACAATATACGGTCTATCCTTACTAAATTTATCAATGACATCATGCATAATGGAATCCAAAATGTCCAACGGATACCCATTTTTAGAAAGAGTCATTTTTATAAAGTCCAATTCACCGTAGAGGAAGGAATTTGAGCAAATTTTAAGAGCTTGAAAAGTCAACGTTCTAATTAAATTAATTTTTCATTGATGTGGACAAAAAGAGTCCCAACGGACATATAAACCTGAAAAGGTAGCCTTCCTAAATACTGAAGTCCAATAGCCATCATCACCTCTACGGACCAAAACATCCAAAAAGGGAAGACAACAATTAGACTCCTTTTCTACGGTAAATTTTAAGGACGAATGAACAGAATTTAATACAGAGAAAAAGGTGTTGGCTTCACCCTCATTATCAAAGAGGCAGAAAATATCATCAACATACCGATGATACATCAGAGGTCGATTAATTTTTTGAAAACAGTAAAACCTCATGAAACCAACAAAAATATTTGTAAGCGTGGGACCCAAAAGGTGATCCCATCGCTACACCGTCTATTTGACGATACATAATATCACCAAAGCTAAACTCTACAGACGTAGTGGCGAACTTCATAAGTTCTCTAAATATACCCTCAGAAAAATCTGGAGGACGTAGAGAAGAGCGATATAACATATCACAACAAGTTCTTAGTTTTCATAATTATGTCCTTTACATTCCGCTTATTCCTTGCCATAATATATATATATATAAAATTCATAGTAAAAAACTCTTAAATCACATTAAAAGTTGGTAATAAATCTATTGTGTCATAATTTTTACCCGACTCTTCAGATCAATACATCAAATGGATAAATATAGGTGAGTGCATGAGCAAGTGTTCAAATATTGCTCTTCAACTGAATTGAGCTTTCCAAGGCACTGGAATATTTCGTATAGAAAAACGTTAAAATTTCCCTCTCTTCTGTACGATGATAGCCTAGAGGTAGGATCTCTGACTGATGCCAAGTCAGTCGGGTTTCAATCCTGGCTTGAAGAAATTGTATATCTAGCCACACTGAAGACCTGTGATACAGCGAAACAGTCTGTGGATGACTATATATATATATATACACACACACACACACACACTATAGTGCAAGAAAAAACATCACTCAATGTTAAATACCCTATGTTGATTGCACAACTCAAAGTTTCATACCATTTGCTTAACAACAATAATACTAATCCAAACAATAAAATATCTTGTGAAGACCAGAAGTATTAAAAAATGGTGTAATCCCAAAAATTGCACCCAAAGAGTTGTGCAATCAATGTAAGGTATTTATATATACATATACACACACACTTCTCCACTTTTAAAATTTCATACACAGGAAGTGTAAGATATTTTTTTCATGCTGAATGGCTAGCTGTAGGCAAAAAAGGCAATCATAAGCAATGAAATCTTAGCAGAATTTTAAAGATGTCCAGCTTAAACAGCTATATCTGTTTAAAGTACAATTAAGTCTTATAAAAATATCTTGTGATGTTCATACTTGATAATGAGGCTGCAGCCATCATATATATTGCTCACATATATGGTTGATCATATCTTTTTATTTAGATCATAGTGTATTTGAGCACAGCAATCCCTCTTTTATACAAGTTTTGTTCAAACTACTGCGATTAAGCATTTTATTTAATTTTTGCTGTGTTTTCTTTTCTGGATATAAAGTGAATATAAAAATTGTCTAAATGTTCTATCTGAGTGCTTTGTCACATCAATGTTGAAATCTGCTCAGCAATTCAATCAAGTATTGATTGTATCAAATACATATCAAAGGGGTCAGATCAAGCTGTCTTTGCACAAATCCTCCACTGAAAATGTTTTCCCTTTGATTTAAATTAAATTTAAATAAGGGAATGACTCCAGATCCAAAATATAGGAGAAAGCCAGAAGATGAAGGTCACATCGGCAAGATCATTGAGTAATAATGAAATGCATCATTTTTCTCCACAAATTATAACAATGACTTAAAAAAAAAATCAATCATCATTTTCTTAAAAAACAAAACAAAACATGTGACAGACAGCAAGGCGCTAATTATATTGACTGTCACTTGCCGAGCATGAGATCCTGAAGGTAGTCAACGACTTGTCACTGAAAAAAAAAAAAAAAAAAAAAAACTTTTATCAAGTCGTTGTCTGGCTTAAAAAAAAGAGGGATGAATTTAAAAATTAATTTTTTTAGTTTGACTACTGTACTTGAATGAAACAGTTGATTAAATGGAATAAGGCCTAATTGACTGAAATAGTGATGTAAATCTCATCACGATATATTTTTTTGACAAGTACACCAAGCCACAACAAGCAATATCAAGATTACTATTAAAAACTGAACTGTTGTCATTTATAGTAATCTAATTATAATTAGGTCGTATACAATTGTTTTTTTATTATAATAATACGCAAGGTTATCTTGTTTAAAAATGATATTAATTAATTTTTTTTCATTCCTAGGTTTTCCTTGAATTCATTTTACGCCAGTACGTCGTATCGTGTCTGTTCATCAATTCCATTTTTATTTTTAGTCAACTGTTTTACTTTTTAAGTTGTTTGTCTTTCTTCAGGACTGGTAGCCAAAATAAAAAACAAAAAAAAAACTACAAAAAACAACTATATTGTTAGTTCTTAACTTCATTTCTTATTCTATTTTTAAAATACTTCATTCTATTAAGAAATTTTATGATAAAATTTATTTTAAAAATCAAAATTCGAATAGTGAATCAAAAAAATTCCATGTCTTTCTTTAATCGAGATCTTCATTGTAAGACACCAAGACTGACTGTCTAGAGTAGGGGGTTCTCTATCCATGCATTTTAGTAAAATAAAAAACATTATTGTTGCTATTGGTCAGTAGCAAAGAGTAGCATTAACCCAGGGTTAATAAATTATCTCTCATCCTTCGTAAATGCAAAACCAAAAACTACACTCAATGTCACAGGGTCAGCAGAAAGACAAACTAAATTGTAATTTAATAAATAAAAATAAGTGGAAAATTTTAGCGAGTGTAAAGGATCATGGAAATCATACAATAATCGTATAGAATTTTTTCAATTCATTGCTTAAAAAAGAAATAGCGATTTTTATTAAATATTTCCACAGTTTCTTCCAAGGGCAAAAAAAACAAAAACATTTGGAACTCACTTAAATAGGTCTAAATGGTATATAAAGAAACTCAGAAGCAGCAAATTCTTTTTATAAAATAAGAAACAAATTTTTTTATGTTACCTTTGAAATATGTCACAGGTGCATCGAGGACTTTGAAAACGCTAAAAATGAACTTATTGTATGAAAGGTTGGGATCCACTTTATCGTCTGCCATGTTGTTTGAAAGCTTCCGTTAGTGAAGCTAACGCGCAGTTAATAATTCTTTAATTTCAGAATTTAAAAAAATATATATATATACAAAAATAGTATTTAAAAATGATAATAGTGCAGTTTAAATATAATTTTAAACAAGACCTACTTTTGTAAATCTTTATGTTTTTTTTTCAATTTTTTGTACTTCCGTTTAAGATTTACCTTAGTCACAAAGACTCCATTAGAAAATTTCAGTACTACCTATATTCTTAAATAAAAATATTTAGTGAAAAATATATAAATATATCAGTTAATAACCTATTGAGAAATAAAGATCTTGAAATATATTTTATGTTTTGTTAACAATTAATCAGAACAGATACAGTACTTTTCGCTGCCTTTTGGGATTGAGGTAAGCGACACCATCGTATAAATAACTGGAACCGGTGCCGAACTGTTCTCTTTCCGCGTGGTCGTTATCGACGATGGTAAGTGTATAATCTGCTGCTGCGATTTTCCATCTTTGTCCATCTTTTATGATAGGAACAAATTTTGAATTATATATAACTAATAGTAAAGCGGGGATCTCGATTTAACTTTTGATGTAATTTTTATTATTGGATGGATTTTTAGAAGCTATTCTCTTTCTTCTTTTAGTCTCATCGTAAATTTTCTGCCCCCCGACATGGCTCGAAAGGGTTCTTGCCCAAGAAGAGGAGTCGTCGCCATCGGGGTAAAATAAAGGCTTTCCCTAAAGATGATCCCAAAAAACCCGTGCATCTTACTGCATTTTTGGGATACAAGGCTGGTATGACTCATATCCTTCGTGAAGTAGATAGACCCGGTTCAAGTAAGTATAAATCATCCATTGCATGTTTTTGAAATCTCTTTAATTTTTTTTTTTTTTTTTTTTATAGCTACTGTTTCTTTGGGCAAACGTTTTGTTGCCTTTTCTTCTATAAATGAAGTTTGTCATCAAAAATATGAAATAAAATTAGTCTGAAAACTATGGTTCGCTTACCTATTATAATTATTTAATTGGAAAAGTTCAATTTTTATAAAAAACTGAAAAATGTAAAATCAAATGAGATTTGTTGACTCTGATTTAATTGAAAATTATACATAAGTACATTTTAACTTTCTTTACTTGTCTTCGTAACAGGAAGATGAAAAATGTTCTATAATCTATTTTTTTATTAAAATGGTAATAAAAATCATTGTAGATTTTCTCTTCCAAACTGAAAAAAAAAAAGCATGAACGAATCTTTGCCACGTGGGACGTCTTTTTTTTTTTTTTTTTTTTTTTTTTCTGGTGACCCAAATTGTCGATTTTAAGCATCTAAATCCGAAATTAGCTGAAGCATTAAAAATAGTTAGCAAAATTTTTAGATTAAGCGGTACAGTAATCATTTTTACTTATTGTATTTTACAAACGAGTCCTGTTAATTTAAAATCTTTACCATCAATTAAAGATTAATTGGTAAGTCTACCGGGCCATAATCCTCATGCGTAGAATGGCGAGTTAAAAAATTAAATTATAATATATTATCATTGATATTCTCATATACCATTTGATTTTTTCTCGAAATATATATATATATATATATATATATATATATATATATATATATATATATATATATATATATCCTATTCCTATTTGTGCAGATGCTTTTTTTTTTTTTTTTTTTTTTTTTTTTTAACTGTAGATATTTTTCTTCCTTCTACAGTTGATTTTTTTTATTTATTTATTTATCTCAATGCTTCCATCAGAATAACTGGAGGTTACAGAGGAAAATTAATCTTCCAAGTTATTTCTTCTGTAATTACCTTGTTTTCTTTTAAAAAAAAAAAAAAAGCAAATTATATTTGTGCATGTGACATTTTAGAGAATTTAAACGTATTTTAACCTAATGGCCACTCTTACTAATTATTTATGCGAAATAAAGCCAACTTAGTTAATTTTAATTACGCCCCTCCCCTTGTTAAAATTAATTAATAATTGTAGCAACACTTTTTTTGACGTATTTGCTCTAGAAATAAAATAACGCCCGAAATGCAATTTGAGATTTTAATTTATCTCTTCAAAAAAATAAAAGAATCTTTAGCCGTTTACTCGGTCTTTACAGGTGATTAAATATCGAGTAATTTAAAAATAAAATCGTGCAGTAATTTCTGAGTGCGGCTTTTAAAATTGGTATTTAGTATCTTTTTTTTTTTTTTTTTTTTTTTAATGAAAAGTTAGACGATTGGAAAATTAATTGCTATTATTAAAGTATCCGTATTTTTAATCAAATTAGATTAGAACCTTTCTTAATCCATTCAGAATATACTTGGTAAAAGTAGTCAGGGTCATAACTACAGTGAAAGTTTTATATCGTTTTAAATAGATTTTTATATTTTAAATGGTAAAATTGCAGATTAGGACCCAGGAGCCAATTTTAAAAAAAAGCATAATTTCCGGGGTTTGTTTTCTTTTTTTTTTTTTTTTTTTTTTTTTAACCCTGAATATTCCAAAAACAGCTTCAAAATTTTGCAAGCACCTACCGTAGGCGATATCGGCAATCTTTTTCAGCCCGGCTGACAGTCTTTCCTATTAATAATAAATATTTGATTTTATAAATATTTTTTATGTACCTCCCACTCTTTACGTTGAAAAAGGCTCCAAACGTTTTTATTAAGAGGATAAAACCCGAATAAGTTTGCCAATATCCCCAAAAGTAAAACGGTACGTTTCTGCAAACTCCTAAATGCTGTTCTTGGATTACTCGGACTCTATTGAAGTTTTTTTTTTTTTTTTTTTTTTTTTTTTTTTCTTAGTATGAACTAAAATGTAATTTAGCCATTTTTAAATGGACCAAACATGTAGAGACGTAGAATCTTCTTGTTCAATATGTCTTTGGATGATTGCTTCTAAACGGAGTGAGTGCCTAAGTCGGCAGTAATTATTAAATTCCTCAGAGCCTTTTACCATTTATTTCTAGTTAGAACTACTCAATAGAGAATAAGTGAATACTTTCACTCAAACCAAAAAAACAATGAATTGAATCTCTTCAATGAAATAGCCATGTCCCCCCCAAAAAAAAAAAAAAATGAAGCTTCGGCGGACTACGTTGGGCCTTTTATCTTGTTGGGACTTTGCTTTGCCTGGCTATATTGCAACGGAATAAAATCGGTACTGGATCCTGAAAGTCTTTATTTTAAATTTTTTTCTAATCTGGGATCAACACTTTAATTAAAAGTTGCGAATGAGATCCCTTTTCCTGCGCATTAGGACTTCTATCCCGAAAAGCTACTTTTTACAATACTTTCGGCCACTAATGTGTAGTGAATTTTTTTTTTTACTGGGTGAATAAAACCTGGCCATAAATCTAAGGCAATTATTTGCTTTAAAGAAAATAAACGCTTTATATTATGTGTATTTGTCCTATTTGATTCTTCCTTATGAGGAAGAAATCCTTTGCTTTCACTTTTTTAGGTACCTCCACGAAATCTCTAAAAAAAAGAGCATAGCCTGATGAAAAAGACGCCAAACTTTATAAAAACAAAATTTTATCGTCTAAATGCTTATGTTATTATGAAGAGGAAAGACCAAAGTTTTTTTAATTATTTTTAAAAAATTTTCCTTTTTTAGAACATTCTAAATTTTGATTAAAAAAAAGTTCTTGTACCAGCCGGAACTAGTAAAATAAGACAATTTTTAGCACTTTTTTTTTTTTTTTTTTTTTTTTTTGTATTACACACATTAATTTGGAAAATCTTGCAAAAATAATTGTCGGATGTTAATGAAACTTTCAGAAAGTATTCAGATGATCGAATTTTTTTTTTATTTAAGCATTGTTCTCCGCTGTTAAGGCCTTTATTTTTGCGAAACGCATGTAGAGAAGTTAATTTGATTTTTCAATTTCAAATCTTCTAAAAAGGAAAAATTAAAAAAAACTTTGGTCTTTCCTCTTCATAATATAACATAAGCATTTAGACGATAAAATTTTTTCATAGTTTGCCGTCCTTTTCATCAAGCAATGCTTTTTTGTAGCTATTTCGTGGAGGTACCTTAAACATTTAAAGATAAAATATATTTGTGGCATGTTATTTGTGTAAAATTAAACTTAAAAAAGCTAAATTAATGATTTGAAACAAGCATTACTTATAGCATAAAGTGATATACAAGCATTTCTTGGTGACATGTTATTCTCATGTCAATATTGACATTCATGTATTGATAAATTCCGGGGTGTTTATTGCAAGTATGGGTGACCAGAATTGATATAAATTTCCAATAACTGAACAGTTTACTGGAGCTCGGTCAGTTAAGCAGCATTTGATTTTCAAGTGATTTTTACAAAAATATCTTTAAATGTTTAAACAATTTTTTGTATAATTTTCAATGAAAACTATTCACAAATTAAAATGTAAATTTATTTCAAATGTAAATGAAATAAAATATAAAATGTAATTTAAAAGAAACTATTTTTTCCTAAGAAACCGGGTTTCATAAACAAAAAAATTGAAGTATGACCCAAAAAATATTTAGTGAAATAGTAATAAAAAAAAGTAAAACATTAAAAATTTGAAAGGATGATGAGATGGTAACGATGAAACAACTTAATGAAAGTGAAAGAATAGCAGAGCACCAGACAGCTCTTGAATCATGTGACCTTTTAAGTATGTCATATGGATGGCTTATAGAAATTGGATGTTTATACACCAACAAAAATTTTTTTTAAGTGTTCAAATGAGCTTTTCACTTTTTGTAAATGTAGTTTTCAGTTGCTCTGAAGTAATGTGGAATTAACTTTTTTTTTATTATAAATTATTCATTTGACTCTTAAAAATGCAAACGATTTTTGTAAAATATTCATTGGAAAAAATTTAAGACAATGTCCTTAAACTATAAAAGCAATTACAAGCTTTAGTGAAGATAACCTGTTATTCTAAGTTGGTATTTTTTTCACTTACGTTTTTCAGAGGTGAACAAGAAGGAAGTTGTTGAATGTGTCACAATATTGGAATGCCCGCCTGTTATGTGTGTTGGTATCGTTGGTTACATTGATACCCCACGTGGTCCCCGGGCTTTCAAGACCATCTGGGCTGAGCATCTTGGGGAAGAGTGTAGACGTCGTTTCTACAAGAATTGGTAAGTAATTTTCTAGTTAACTTTATAAATTAATGGTAGCTTAATTACAAATTTTATAATGAACCTGCCACAGTTGAGGTTAATTTAACCATTACCATGATATATATACAAAAATAAAATCTGTATAGATTTTACTTTTTGTATATTAAAACTGGATGAGTAATATTTTGGTGTTATGCATTACATCCTGCATTTTTGATGTGGAAAACGAGCATGCAGAAAAAAAAAAAAAAAACATTCATCATCAACTTGTAATTCTGGGGTGCAATAAGAATGACCACTAAGAAAGCTTTTTATTTTTTTTATTTTTTTTTTTATTAGAAAAAGTGACGTGCTTCCTGATTTTTATGTGTGAGAAGACTCTTTTACTTGACTATCATTTGTCTTTCTACAGTTATTTCATATTTATAAATAGGCAAAAAAGTTCACCTTCAGAAAGGCCTTAGGTATATTGATGGTCACCTGTCATAAAATTAGTCAGCCATATAATAGTAGCTGGTCAGTATCTAGTGGTCATCATCGCCTTTCTGTGTGTCACTAGCTTATCTTCGGCCAGTTCATTGTCAATATCCACTTGTGTAAAGCCTTCAAAACGCTTAATCTGAATATGAATTGTAGAATGTTGAATGCAACCATTTTGTTTACAAAAAATTAACGTGGACCTAATCTGTTACATGTTATGTATTCTAGAACTTAGTTCCAAATCAGTAGTAGTTTTTTTTTTTTTTAGCTTAAAATACCAGAAATAAGTTGCCAAGTGTTTATTTATAACAACTGTCTTGAGGCAGCAAGGCGGGGGAGATTCTCTGGTGTGGTAAAGATTTAAAAAAAAAAAAATATATATATATATATATATATAGAATATATATAAAATATACTTTTTCTTCTCTTCCCGAGCCTAGAGTCACCTGTAGAGTCTTCGTTATTATACCTTACTGGTGCTAAAGGAACTCGGACATTAAATTTCAGTCTCTATGCTTTGAACATTTCAATAAAATGTTTGGACACAAAGACTGACACATTTACACAAATAATACCTAAGGTTTTTGAATTAAGGGCTTCAATTTTAGCTTTAATTGGAAGCCAAAGGATTAAATTTACTATTTCCAGTAAGCAAAACTCTTAGCATGTGGTGATTTTTATATTAAGCTTTTCCATTTATTTGTAATATAGATTACACTTAATGATTTAAAAGGGTGAAATTAATACAGGATTTGAAACTATATAATTATAAAACCTAAACAATTCTTGTAAAAACTATTTTCTTAAGGCAATCAATCTTGTAAAAGGAATTAAAAGCTTTCTAATTGTTGGTTGCATTCAGCAGACTTGGTAAATTAATTTGAAAAAAAAATATTCTCCAAGGAATCTTGCTTTTAAAAATATTAAGATATTTGGATCAAAATTAATTTCTTAAATTTCATAAAAATTCAGTCAAGTGGGTAACAGTTGTATATATTTAAAAAAAAAAACAAAACAAAAAAAAAAACTAATTTTACCAAGATTTTTTTAATCCTTTTGTGGATAAGTCCTGTAAAGCTAATTAAGATCTGACAATTATTTGATTTTTGCAAGAATTAAGTTTTGTTTTAAAAACCACAAAAGGGGCTAAATTTACTGCTGACAAAAATTAACCAATTGAAAAATGCAATAAATATTAAAAAATATCGTCTTTTTAATAAAATTTGAAATGTTCAAGCTTGGGGCCTTTCATCATGGCATGCTCTTTTGTTTTTGTTGAGAAAAAGCAGAGGTGCCTAATATAAGATGAAATAAACCCTAAATAATTAGCCTTGGCTATGGCAGATTAATTATAAAATGAACTTTTTTTTTTTTTTTTTCTCTCTTTCTATCTTCTTGACTCTCCGAGCCTAGAGTCACTAGTTTGGTTTTTATGTACCTCATTGGTGCTAATGGAACTCGGACATTAACTTTCAGTCTGTATGCTTTGAGCATTTCAATAAAACGTTCAGACACCAAGACTGACACATTTACATTAGTTTTAATTGATTGAACATGTCTTTGAGGGATTTTTTGTCTCTAGAAAATTATCAACATGACTAGTCACTTTTTTTCCTCAATGCTAACATACTATATTTTCATGACCTTTGACCTTTTTCTAGGACTATACCAGTTGCAGGATAAGTCTGCAGGAAGCAATGGTATAGTTCCGCTCAACTAATCTCTAAGAATGGATATGGATCTTGCAGGCATTTTTTTTTTTTTTTTTTTTGTTACTCGCTCTTCTGGGAGAGTAGTTAAGTTGCATGTGATCAATTGGTAGGGACAACCATTATGTATTTTGGAAGGGATGTTCATAAAAATGACTTGTAATATTTCTTTGGGAATTGAAATTCATTCTCATGCTTAAAAAAAAAAAAAAAAACATTAAATATTTGATTTTTGTAAATTATAAACAATATTTACAGAAATATTTTAAAGTGTAGCTCTTTTAAAAAAAATTCTACAGATAATGAATTCAATCTCTTGTATCCTGTATGGACATTATTTTTGAGAATCTTGGAAACATATAATTGTCCGATTTTAATGAAACTTTCAGAAACTATTCAGGAATGATGGAAATTATTTTTTTTTTTTTTTTAAGTAATTATACCCCCAACCTAAATACTTTACTGAAAACCCTAGGAATTCAATGTTGGAGCACCCAAGTGATTAAGGAAAAGTATCAGTGGCCACTTTTTTTTTTTTTTTTTTTTTCGTACTTACCTTTACTATGCTTCATAATACTATAGAAAAATTAAATAAGACAGAGTGAGATCAAATTTCATAAGAAAGGTACCTAATTAATTACCTTTATGAAATACCAGTAGTGTACATTGTATGGTATTTGGATTTCCAATCATTTTATTAATTTTGATATTTCATTTATGGAAAAATGACACAACTGATAGCATATAAATTTCACAAGATAGGTACATAACACAAAATAAAATGCTATACATTTTTTCTAATAGTTACATAATCACATACTTTTTATTTTATTTTTCCTAGCCAAATAACAGGGGTTTAGAAATTCAATGCAATTGTTATCAGACGTTCGTGAACTTTTTGTGGCTTTTTGCTATTTTTCCCATAGCTGGGACCCTAACAGGTTCTACCACTCCGGGTCAGAGTGGCCCTGGGAACAACAGCAATTAAGAGGTGGTTCCACGCTCCTCAAACTCCAACCTAATGCTTGGAGTCCTTGCTCCTTGGGCCGTTATGCATCAAGTATTAGATTGTGCATGATATAGTCGGTTGCCAATTCACATTTGTCCAGTTGATATTCTTCATTTTCCTCTTCATAAAATATATTGTAATCTGGGTCAAAATCCATTGACCCATCCTACAAATGTATCAACAGAATCAACTGTCCAAATGTTTCTTATGCTGCAGCCAACTATGTCACCACTTAAGATTTTGTAGATGTTATCTACAAAATCTTGTGTCAAGTCCGGGAATTCTGCCTTTATAGCAGAAGTATTTGTATCAATCCGTTTCATCCTCCTCCGCAGTTGTCGCCGCCTCTGTTGTTGATGGCTTTGTTTTTTCTCATGTCTCTGCTTGATTTCTGCTTCTAAGATTTCTTTTCAGTTTTTCTTTCCTTGTTCTTTTCGGTGCTATACTGCATGGCAGCATCCAAGTATTGTTGAAAAGTACTCTCCTCCAAACCCTTTACATAGTTCCACACATCATTCCTTTTGGCCTTAATAATGTGGCTTATGCTGGATACGTAAGCATTTGGAGATACTTTTTTCTTCTCACAATACTCGCCTATTACACTCTTAACCTCTATCGTATGTTGCCTTACAGATGATAGCACCAATTCTGTGGTGGTCTGTACTGTCACAAATGACTGCCTGTACTGCCGTTCCAAAACTGAAACAGTTCCTTTCAGACAGGCAGTCATATTTTCAAACAATTGTTCATTTGTGGGGGCAACCATTATCACATGCTTTATCGTTGCTGGCAAAACGTCCCCAAAGAAGTCATGTTCTGCCAGTAGTATTGACTTTGAGTCCATTTTCTTTAACTCTCCTATTACATGTTTCACCATATTCATAGTGTTGATGGGTTTTGAGTGTGTTTCAAGTCCGTGTAAAACTTGTTCATCCAGGGTCCAGACATCTTCCCTAGAATGCCAAGTACTTGAAGTTCACTCTCTGCTGCTTCCTCCACAATAAAATCTTGTAATTTAATAACTAATTTATTTGGGGGTAACAAACCATGCACAAATTTTTTTCAGTTTTTCAAAAATGGAGAAATATACACCACCTAACTGAAAAATTATGTGCAACTGATTTCCCAAGAACCTTGTCACTCTGCAGCCTTCTTCCTTGATGAAGTTATCCATCTGCGTCACATGGTTGTACTTGTCACTGAATCGTAATGAATTCAGTGCCATGATAATCTTCCATGTGATGCACTCTCCAGAACACTTGAACATCATCTCTTCACAGGCTTGGAATTCTTTCCTGACTCTGTTAGAAATGGCTTCTAACGGATGCACGTTACAATTCAACTAAGTGGGTGCCCCACTCTTTCTCCAATAAAAAAACAGTCAAGTGGTTGACTGGTGCCCGGTCTGTCGAGCAGCATTTAATTTTGATTACTGCTGTATGGCAGCTAGCAACACTCACTGATAATATCGCAGAATATATAGTAGCAAGCTTTTTGATGGCACTACAAATATGGTTCTTGTAGTCCTCAGCAGTTCCACCAGGAAGTCGTAGCGTCGAAAATGAGGCTACAATTTTCTGATGCTAAAATTGATGTAACAGTTTTTATATCTGGAAAAAAAAAACCAAAGTTCACCCACCATTCGGCCAACTGTGGTTATAGATTTTATGTCTATTTTGGGTTTGTCTATAATGGACCTGAAATTTTTCAAAAGTTCAGGAACATTTCTACCAGTCATGCCACTTAATAAGCAGGCATAGTGCATCTTCCTTGATTGTATTTTTGTGGACCTTTTTTTTTTTTCTTATTTTTTAGCAATG